ATTCTTAGACCTCAATCCATTAGTATTCATTAAATTGAGGCACACTAATTGAGATTCACTGTGTAATATAAATTTAAGTAATCAAATTAAAAATATAAATTTAATATGACGTTAAAAATTTTTTAGGAATCCAGTTTGATTCAAATCAATTTGAATTGAGTCACAGATCAATTTGATTCAATTCATTCAGAGCCTTAGTTTTAAAGAATTAATTCAATTTTATATTGTTCCATAATTATATAGATTTCCAATTGTATTAGACATTGGTGGACCTGTATCTTCATCTTCAAGTGCTTCTTGAACTACCACAATTACTTCATCATCATCAAGCATTGGAATCAATTTCAGTATAACTTCTTGCTGTAATAATATCATTACATATGTAAACTTGATAAGTTGGCCAAAATTTTCACCCCATTTCCTTAATATTTGAGTAATTTAATTCAATAAATTGGTTTAATTGACAAGTCAGTCATATGAGCTCACCTCCACGTGACCGACTTATCAAGTTTACATATGTATTGTTAACATTGATTTAATCAAAATTGGACTTCATTTCTTCATCTATTTCAGTATCAACTTCCATAGACTCTATTATAGTTACCATCTGAATTGCTAACATATCTTCTAATTGTAGCCATGACATCTTTTTCAGCAGCATCTGCTTAACTCTTGGTATTTGCAAGCCATTTCTCCTTTTCTTTAATAAGGTTTTAAAAGCAATATTATTTGTTATTTATATGAGATATTTATTGATGATCTTTTACATTAGCAATTCAAATGCATATTTTTGAACATAATAAATTGTTCACAATACAAACAAGATGTTCTTCTTCTGTATTGTTAATGATGAGATAATAAAGGATACGACTGATTGGGGGTGTTACAGTCTAATCAAAATTAAGTAATGTCAATCAATAAGTTTAATGATCGACAACGCAAAGAAATAATAAATAAAATCATATTTTCAAAATGCTACTAGTATGCGAAAAAGAGATATATTATTTCCAACTTTGAGCATGGAATATTATAATATATCTAGTTTATCGGTAGAGAGAGATTTTTGAAGGTGACAAACACTATTGATGAAAAAGTCACGATCAAAAATTGCCAATAGTGTAATGGATATAATAAAAACACATTTTTCAAAATGCTACTAGTCTGTGAAAAAGAGATACATTATTTCCAACTTTGGGTATGGAATATTATAATATATCTAGTTTATCGATACAGATAGATTTTTGAAGGTAACAAACACCATTGATGAAAAAGTCACGATCAAAAATTGCCAATAGTGTAACGGGTACAATAAAACACATTTTTCGTAATCCTACTAGTCCATGAAAAAAAGTCATGTTATATGTAAGTTTAAATTATTTTTATCATGTGAACGAGCGTCTTTTTTGCTAATACGAAAAATTTGGTTACCTCTAAAAGAACGAGTTTAGGACACGAAGTAGTGAATCAGTTATTGTTATTATTATGACAGGATTTTATTCGTATTTCTATTTATACTGTATATATTATCATATGTATTATTGTTATTAATATTTTTAATACGAGTTATCAATATCCAACCCCATATAAATAATAAATTACACAAATTAACAATTAAGAAACAATAAACATGACCTCTAATCAATATATCGTTAACAAAAAAATCTATAAATAATTTGACATTAGTCTCGAAGTCATTTTTAGATCACGTAAATCCGTTATAGATAAGTCATATGAACCCTTTATACAAAATTTAATTAATAATATCCGTCCGTATGGAAAGGAAGAGATTTTAGTTTAATTAATTCGGGTTCTCCATTCGGGTGATCATTGTCATGGCCTGGGTGTATCCAAACCGGGCCCAGAAATTTTTCGGCTTATTATGTATTTTTTTTAAAAGCTCATACAGGGGTAACAGCTGATCAATTAAGAGTAGAGAACTGGTTAACCTTAATCGGATAAAAACAGGTTAAAATGTAGATCACTAATTCGCATATAATGCACGACATCAAATGCTGTGCTGAGTGCCAAGTTTTCAAATCCAAAAATAGCGACGATATTCTTTGGTGTCATTATATTACAGAATCACATGACTCAATCATTTATTAGTTTTAGTATTAGTATTAGGGTTTTCTTCTATTTGAATAAGGTTTATTCGAATTATTATTATTAATTATTATTATTATCAGTCAAACGATATGTCACATGCAGTGTAATTACATATCAGTTGTGTGACATGCATGTCCTTTCAAATTATTTCTATATTAAATAAAAAATTTCTAATTCTTGTCACATGAAGTTTTTTTTAAAATATCTCGTTATTTTTATAATAAACTCGAACTTTGTTGTTAGAGTAAAATGAAAATAGTCAATTAAAGCTTTCTAATGAATACTCTTTCGTATCGAAAGGTCTTCTGTATATAAATCTACGACTATTCAAAAATGGAGTTACTTTTTCACTTCAAAGCTCAGATTATTTTTCAATATCGCTTTAAAAGACCTGATAGTGACTGAAGAGGTGTAAAATACTTTAAGCTTTCATATGGTTATTACTTTATGGAGGATGTTGTTAATAAGTTTTAGAGAGGTTTATGAAAAACTATTTTATAGAAATTTAACAGTCATGTCAGGAATTTTATACAGATTGGATTCAGCAAAAAAATTTTAAAAAAGAGAACCGAGTTTACAACCTGTTATTTATGAAAGTAAGTAATAGATATTATAGGAAAAAAATGTATAACTATATTATAAAAGAATTATTTGTTTATATATTTATTCATCTAGGAGAGAATGTAATTATTAATATTAAAAGGTATTATTTATCTCAATTCATCTAGGAGAGAATGCATAATTTTCTTTTTCCAAAGGTTAATGGTTAAATTAGAAGGAATTGTTATGTGTGTATGATCAGAAAGAATTGCGCGCGACCATATTTTATTTATTATTACAGCATTATTTATTTATTTTTAGAAAATTCAACATCAAAAAATTTTGGTTGTAATAACAATTATACTATTAATTATTATTTTAGACCTGGTGGTGTACGATCAGAAAGAATTGTTACGCGGCTATATTTATTTATTATTTATTTTTAGAAAATAGATAGAAAATTCAAAATCATAAAGTTTATTCTTGTTATTAATCATTAATTACCTTTAGTATAATCAGAAAGAATTGTTATGAAAGAATCAAATTAGTTATTATTTTATTATCATATATTTGATTGTTTTATTCATTAATTTTTGTTTCTCATGTAAAAAAATATAACATCTATTTAAATTTATTAGTGAAAATGAAGATAATAGTATTTATTTTTTAATAATTAAAATTTACATACACAACCAATGAGAATCTAAGCTAGCAAACATACAATGAGTTATAATTAAATTGTTGCAATTGCATTACTATTACCACGAAATATAATTAAATCTGTTGCAACGTGTCATCATGAATTATAATTAAATTTGTTGCAATCGCGTTACTGTAATTTGGTATAATGAATTTTAGATGCAATTTTCTTGTGTCCTCATAGATTCATTGGAACAAGATTTGACCGTATATATAGTATTGATCCAATATTTTCTTCCGGAAATTCATGAATTGAGATTAGTTAGTCTTTGACATTTCAATTGTTATTATCATATTATATTTACAAGTTTTAATAAATTCTATTAATCTAATCTCAACAATGCTCTCTACCTGTAATTCTTGTATGTGGATTAATTCCATCAACTCTAACTAACTCCTTACATCCAATGTTATTATTGCTCATAAAAAATCGATCATTTTTCACACCATAATTGTAACAGTTCTTTTTTTGTTCTTAATTGCGAATATGTAATATGGCACAGTAATACGAAATTATTTCGCGTAACACGTTAAATTAAAACGAAATGTTACAAATTTACTTATATTATTGTTATATTACTTATATTATCATTTATATTACATATATTATTATTTTCTTATGTATATGAGTTATGAATTAAGTGCTGCAGCTTTCCGGGAAGTTCTAAGATATTATTATTGATAATAATTTATTTATTTAATTGTAATATTATATTATGCATTTTGTATAAAAAGATAAACTTTCTGTAATTAATAAAGATAACTTGTATTTTTAATAATAATTAAAACAATTAGTATTTTGACATAAGGAAAAAAGGGTTTCCTTACAAGTTGGTAGCAGCGGAATTTATACACACACACACACATACACACACACACACACACAAACACACACACATACATACTTTTACACACATACTTCTAACAACTCTGTATGAGTAACTTTTATAATATATTTAGGGAAAACAACACTGACAGTGACTCTGGCGAAGAAAACTCTACTATTTCTACATCACAACCAGGAAGAGAATTAGACGAATCTGACATTTTAAATCAACAAAGAAGAAGGGTCCAACAATCAACTACACAATTAAATACAACGCCAATCAAAGGATCAAACAACCAATTTACTAACCAACCTATTATAAATAACCTAGAACAACAAGTAACAACAATGGATGCCACTCAATTCAATCAATTAATAGCAGCATTAGGACAACTCACTCAACAACTTGGTAATCAACAAGGAGGAAATGCACCACCTAGGATTGCAGTACAAATTCCGATTTTTAAAGGAGAACCAAAGAGAATGTAACTACATGGTTAATGCAAGCTGAAACAATTTTTGCTGCTCAAGGAATTAATGATGCTGCAACTCGTTGCCACTATGCTAGTACTGGAATGAAAGAAGCTTGCATTACATTGGTACCTAGCTCGAATGACAGAACATGGAAATAATACTGGAGTACCATGGAGTGATTGGAATGCATTTAAAACTGCTGTGTGAGCTGCTTTCCAACCTCCAAATTACCAATCTTATTTATGTCAACAAGTGAGATGATTGAAACAAACAGGGAGTGTCTGAGGTTATACCACCCAGTTCCAAAATGTTGTTGGACAAATAGAAAGAATGGGAGGCCTGGACCAAGTGGCACATTATTTAGATGGATTAAAAACTGACACCCAAAAAGAATTGGCATACCAAGCACCACAAAGTTTAGAAGCTGCAATAAATCTTGCTGTATGATATGATTCTGCAATGTGAGGAATTGGAAAACCAATGAATAGTAATAAGTCATGAACCACAAACTATAATCATCCACCACCCCACTAAGAGATGATGGAGGACCAAGACCAATGGATCTTGATTACATTGGAGAAAGTAGAAATCATAATCATACTAGTTATCAATGAAATAAGTATTCTAGTAACAATAATAATAATCACAGTAGTAGCAATAACAAAGGTAAGTCATCAAAGGAAGGATGTTATAATTGTGGAAAGTTAGGACATTTCTCACAAGACTGCAAACAGAAAGGAAGTTCCACACTTAAAAATATTGAAGAAGACACTGCTAGTAATAACAATTTGGAACTAGTTCAACTTGAAGAAAATAAAGAAAGCTTGCTTTGGTTCAATGGTAAAATCAATGGGAAAGATGCATGGATCCTTTTAGACAGTGGCGCTTCATGAAATTTCATTGATAAAAATTTTGTAAAAGAAAATAATTTAGCTGTTAGAACTACTACTCCTTTAACTATAGAATTAGACTAATCAGTAGCCAATATGAGAATCTTACAATTAGGAGTATATCAAACCAAGAACATAGATGCACAAGTCATCAATCTTCAACACTATGATGCAATTTTGGGGAAGCGCCAGTTATATTATGCAAACCCTCAGATCAATTGATGAACTAATACACTTGTTTTTAAATATGGTAACAAAGAAATGGAAGTAAAGGCTGACACCAAGTGAAATGATATAATTGAATGTCGATCTATCAATATTTCTCAACAACAGCTAGCAAAAATTCCTAATGATAATGACTTATATGCTGTTTATCTTGGAAACATGAACAAAGTGGATTAGCCTGTTCTAACTCCTCAAGCTTAAAAGATTGTCAAAGAATTCTCTGATATATTTCCCAAGAGTTTGCCTGAATTACCTCCAAAAAGAAAGGTAGACCATGCCATTGACTTAGTTCCTGGGGCAGAACTCCCTTCAAGACCTATCTATAGACTAACATACCAGGAAATGAATGAATTAAAGAACCAATTAACTGAATTGTTAAAGAAAGGTTTCATCCAACCAAGTGTTTCACCTTATGGTGCACCTGTTCTATTTGTACACAAGAAAGAAGGAACCCTTCGACTCTGTGTTGATTATCATGCACCGAATAAAATCACCATTAAAAATCACTATGCACTACCTCATGTGGAAGACTTGGCTGACTGACTAACTGGTGTCAAGTATTTTACAAAGATTGATCTTTACTCAGGTTATCATCAAGTAAGAATTCGTGAGGAGGATATACCAAAAACTGCTTTCTGCACTCAATATGGACCCTTTGAATTTCTAGTATTACCCTTTAAATTAACTAATTGCACCTGCAACTTTTATGACATTGATGAATGATATTTTCCATGAGTTTTTGGACAAATTTGTAATTGTGTATTTAGATGACATTTTAGTATATAGTAAATCAGAAAAGGAACATTACAAACATCTTCAACAGGTATTGAACACTATTCAAGAACATAAACTTTATGCTAAGATTAGCAAGTGTGAATTATTCCAAACCAAAGTCAAATATTTGGGTCACTATATTTCTGATCAAGGAATTGCTGTTGAAGAAAGAAAGGTTGCTGCCATTAAATTTTGGAAAGAACCAAATAATCTTATTGAATTAAGATCATTTCTAGGCCTTGCAAATTACTATAGAAAATTTGTCTTGAATTATTCTACCATTGCCTCTCCTCTTACTCAATTATTGCACAAAGATCAACCTTATGTATGAGAAAAATCTCAACAAGTTACATTTGAAGAAATTAAAAAACAATTAACTTCCACTCCTGTCATATTAATTCCTAATCCAGAATTACCATTCACATTAACAACAGATGCTTCAGACCTAGACATAGGTGCTGTATTGGGTCAGAACCAAGGTAAAGGAGAACAACCAATAGCTTATGAATCAAGAAAGCTAACTTCAGCAGAGAAAAATTATCCTGTACACAAAAAGGAGTTACTTACCATTGTACATGCTATAAAAATCTGGAAACCATACTTGGAAAACCATATTTGTCTGTTATAAGGTTTCTGGTCCAAAATGTTTTCTCAAAGCCCAAACTAGTTTGGGCAATTTGGGTTTCTCAACATTTTCTATAAGCATGAACATTAAAAAACTATATGAATCAACTTGTTTTAACTTAAACAACTTTAAAATAATTTTGCCCAATTTCGGCTAATAACAAAAAGTAGTTTGGGCTTATAAAAAAATAATTTTTGCCCAAAGTATTTGGGCAATTTCGGCTACTAATAGAAGCAGTTTCGACCAGAAACCTTAGTCTGTTATATCTGTTATTTCCACCATTTTAATTGAAAATGATAAACTAGCAAAAAGTTATTAAGAAGATAAACACTTTGCTCCAATTTGGGACATATTACATAATCCTAATGCAACTGTTAAACAAAAAGCACAAGTAAAGAATTATGAATTGGTTGGAAACAAAATATGAAGGAAAATACCCATGACAAAAAGATATAATTACTAAGATATTACAAGAAGCACATGACAATCCTACTTCTGGTCACCTTGGATGTGATAAAACATATGAAAGAATTACTCAAACATATTATTGGCCTTGTATGAGTAAAGATGTAAAGAAATATGTTGCTACATGTGAATCATGTCAACAAAATAAAGCCACAAATCAACAACCTGCAGGTCTCTTGCAAACATTGCCAACTCCAAATAATCTATGGGAACAGGTTACAATGGATTTTATCATCCAACTACCTCATACTTCCAAAGGATATGATGCTATTGTAGTATTTGTGGATTTTCTTTCAAAAAGAGCACATTTTATTCTTTTAATTACAGATGTGACTGCTCCTGATGTAGCAAAAATTTTCTTTGATCACATTTTTAAACATCATGGATTACCCAAGGTAATTATATCTGACTGAGATCCAAAATTTACTAGTCGATTTTGGCAGGCTCTTTTCAAATTGTTAGGAACAAAATTATCAATTTCTACAACATACCACCCTCAAACAGATGGACAAACTGAAATAATGAATCACACTCTGGAGGAAATGTTAAGAGCTTACACAACTTATCATCAAGACAAATGGGATGAACATCTTCCTGCAGTTGAATTTGCTTATAATAATTCCAAACAAGCTTTAACTGAAATGACACCTTTTGAATTAGACAATGGACAACATCCAATGACACCATTGGAACTTATAGATAGTAATACCACTAAAGTTGAAGCAGCTGAAAATTTGTATATAATCTGGAAAAACAATTTACAAACTGCTAAAGATGCTTTATTAGCTGCTCAAGAATGACAAACAAAATATGCAAATCAACACCATCAAAATGAAAACTATAATGTTGGTGACCAAGTTCTTCTGTCTACTGCAAATATTAATGATGATATCAACAAAAATCACACAACAAGAAAGTTAAATCCAAAATGGATTGGTTCATTTCCAATTGAAGAAGTCATCTCACCAACTGTATACAAGTTAACCTTACCAAAAACAATGAAAATTCATCCTGTGTTTCACATATCTTTAATTAAACCACATAAAACAACAGATGAATTTGAAAGAGAAATACCTCCACCACCTATTAACACTAATGAAAATGAAAATGATGAAAGTATTCTAGACATGAAAACAAAACATAAAAAGAAATTTTATCTTGTGAAATGGTTTTCATTTATTTTAAAATTGAAGAGATTCTGAAATTGGTCCTATGGTGACAAGCAAAATAGGCAGAAAGTATTGAATTTGGGTGGATCTGCAAATAAATATCAGAAATATTTTAATTTATAACATAACATACCAAACAAAATCTGAACCATTTTATAACTTTTTCCTTGTTGGCCATATCACTGACAAAGATGTATATAATCATGTGATAATTTTAACCTGCAGGACAGAGGAATGATTGGGCAAAAACCCCATCCAGTCTCTTACCCAAAATCATAAATTGGTTAGTATCAGAAAAACAGAGAATTTATGAAAATGATTATACAAAACAAACACTATTTTACAACTTTCCTCTTAACATCAGAGTCCAAATGCAATTTCAGGGCCACAAACCCTGCTCTGAATTGCAACCTCCTGTGCTTGGAACAAGCTGCAGATTCTTTTAATATTCATCCAGAGTTGTGACAGCTTGGTCACAGAGCCAACCTTGCCCTAGAGGTGGGATCATTGCAGGCAACTTTTCAACCAGTGTGCCAGCAGCCATCTCTGGTCTGGGAAGATTAGTGAAAGCATCATTGACAATTGGTGCAGTCTCAGTAAACTCCAAAGCCATGCAATACCCCTGGAATTCTGCAGCATTATTGTATCATCAATCAATCAGGTCAGATTAACCTTGTGTACATGAGGAACAAGTGAATGGCTGTAAAGTGTTCAAGGTAGTGCACGTGCGTGCTTCAACATCTGTAAATTTCCGATAATCAAACATCACATACTCAAAATGTCTCTTTTTCAATGGTGTGCTGCCTTGATATCTTCTTGTAATTATATATTTATAATGATATTATTAATGATTACAAAAAGCAAAATATTATCAATGAAAATCTTGTAATTACCCAGCAAGATCTGCTCCGCATTTTGATTCCAATTAAAATATTTATAAACTAAGACACCACATTATATCAATAAAAGTAAAAAAAAGTACCTCTGGTTAGTTATTAACACTTCATCTTTAGGAGACCCAAACCAAACCAAACAACAACACTCACGTTTTGTCACCTTGGGCTCTGTCAAAAAAGAAATTGTTTTTATTGTTTTTCCAAGAAAAATAAAAAATCAATTCACGTCTGTCCTACCAAAAAAAAACCAATAGGATAAATAATTAATGTATCAAATAACAAATTTCTTAAAAATGTCTTTTCAAGACAAAAAAAGAAAAAAAAGCAAACAAACAGAAGCAGAAGAAACCTGCGGGTAAGTGTTTTAAGGATGGTGGTGGTGGTTATCGCCTGCCACTCATTGTCACTCTATATATATAAACTTGTTTTTTATTTATTTATTTAGTGTAATAGACTCAAAAGAAAATAATAACGACAATATATATGGTTCCATCAAGAATGCGCTGAAATTTTTAAATCAGAATAATAAAACGATTCCAGTCAAAAAACAACCATCACATAAACATTCTAATTTGTATATTCAAAGTATAATTTATATAAACGCACTCAACAATCCATTGGTGGATCAATCTTTAATGATAGATCAAATGTTAATTAATAAAGAATTAGAACAAATAATTACACTTAAAGAAGTGTCACCGTTTTTACCAACATTTCTTGGAGAACTGGAAATAGTGGTATTTATTAAAGTTCTTGGTTGATAATTTTTAAAATTAACAAAATTAACAAAAGAAATAATTATATTCTTATATTTTAGACTAAATTATCATCTTGGTATGAATTAGAACAATGGGCTTGTAAAAAATATTTTTCAGGCTTTGCAGATATTATTTGGCCAGATCGATCTGTATTTGATAGCTTAATTGTGAATTATCTACAAGACATTCTTATACATTAGTAAGTATAATTTATTCATGTTGTTTATTTTACTTGATATTCAAATTTATGCTTGTTTATTGACACATGACATTATAGTTCATCATTGTTCCAAGAACCATACCATGAAAACTTATGCAAAGGAGATGTACATGACATTCACATACTTCCCTTAACAAAACTATTACGGTGTGTATGCAAGTTAATTAATGGTGAAAGATTTTCTGAGGCTGTGAAATTTCGGATAAATTTATTTAATAAATCAAATCATAGAGGACATAAAACAGACTTGGGAGGGGAGATTAGTGGATTTGAAGTGTTCACATTTGAAAATTCTTATATAGCTAATGAGCATACTAAAAAATTTAAAAAAGATGAATTAAAAATTGCATGTTATACCAGGGATGATTTGATAGTACTATGGCAAACATATTATTGAAAAGCTTTTTCCATATTTAGTGAATTTGAGACTTATCTTATGGCTATACAAACTTGGGGAGCACAACTTTCTGGTACTTTTGATGGCAATAGTGGACTCCATCTCAGTATTTATTCCACTAGACAAGTTACGGCTGGTTTATTTTTTTTTTCTTATGGTTGACTAAGGTTTTTATTCATGAATATCATGAATATCATTAAGGGGGTTACATGCTATTAAAACAGCAAAAAATCCCTTAAAAACATGAGTTGGTCACTTGATTTTAATAGTGTGTGACCATGTGTGACCCCCTTATGATATTCATGAATACAAACCCTATGGTTGACTCTGAACCTTTACCACGTAAAGAAACTGGTGTTGGTTATACAAGCTTAAGTGCTTGCACAGAATTGGTTATTCAGCTAATGGTAAGTTATGCTTTTTTTGAAGATCTTCAAGATAAAAACCTAACTAATTTTGTTATTTTAATTAGGCTGGTATACAACAAACAAGTAAAATTTATCTTGAAATGGATAAATTATATAGAGGCTTGAGTCGACTAAAGATGGTTCCTCAATTAGTTGCAACTAATTGCGGCATATAAAAATTGAATTGTGGTTGCGGTTGCGGCATATGAAAATTGAATTGTGGCTAATTGCGGTTCCCATCTCTAGAGTCAACAAAATCCCAAAAAACAATCAGAGAAGAGGGTTTATTTAGACGAAATTTGTGATATTAATTCACTAAATAGGGATCAAAATATCAAAAAAATGAAACAATGTAGTTGTAACAATTTACTTTGTAATCATATACAACGTCTTGTGTAGCACATCAATATTTACATCTAGAAATGTGACACATAATTAATTATTATTTGTAACATCAATTATTTCGTGTCTTTAATTACTATTTATTATTTATCTATGTCCACAAATCTTCCAGATAGATTGATAAGAATTATTATGATTATTTTATTTATATTTTATCAATCTTTTATTATTATTTATATTTTATTTATATCATATCAATCTATGTAATTTTATTATATAAAGGACATCATTTTTAAGATAATAAAGATAATTTGTATTTTTACAATAATTAAAGTACCTGTTCAACGAACGTGTTATAATATTGTCTTTATTTTCATTAAGAAAAGTAATTCTTACAGTAGTAAAAATGATGATATCATGGAAAGTGAAAGTGACAAGAAATGATGTGGAGTTTGTAATCAAAGAGGTCATAATGTATGAACTTGCTTGAAATAAATTGACCACATGAAAAATGAAACAGTGTTTTAGTGTTGCTTATGGTAATTAATCTATCTACACATTAGAATTCTGTAAATTTGGGCACAATCAATAATAAGTAAATGAAATAACAATAAAATAATAAAGAAATAAATATATTTCAAAATTTAAAATTTAAGAATAAGTTAAGTTGATTGTCCATTACTGAAATAAATAAAACAAAATTTATTATTTTCTTTCTTTTTTATTTGTCCAAATCATTAAATGACTATTCAATGTATCTACTAAAGACACCTGCTGTAATTGGTTATTTACAGCAATGGTAAGGGTGCTGGCATATATTAATATCATTTTAATAGTAGCGCCTACCCCAGGTAAGATATTTTGATCACGTGTATAATAATCATTTGCCTTTTTTAGGTATCAATGATACACAGGGCCTTCTCATTCACACTCATTTATGAATGATCATAAATCCAAATTTGGAGGGCGAGTGTTCACACTGTGGCTGAAATAGCCAAAATTGGTAATAATCGCTCATGATCATTCATAAATGAGAAGGTCCACAAAAAAATCATTTCTGCTGATAGCAACGTTGGAATATACAATTTTCCTTTATAATATTAATATGCATGTGCAGTAGAGTTTCTATTCGAATAATGTTTATTCAAATTATTTGTTTTATTCATTATGAATTTGAATATCTGAAAGTTATTTGAATAAAACAAATAATTTGATTATAATAATATGTAACAACAATTTTGATCGGTAAAATAATTCTAGTCGAAATTAGGCAATTAATCTATACCATATTTGGTAATGTAGAGAAATTCGTTTTTTTTAATTAGCTATTACTAATTTGGTAATCGGGATTATTTGCGAAGAATTATGAATATTATTTTCCTTGAATTATTGATATCTTTATTAGGAGTGTTGGCGATGGTGTATAATTATTATTATTATTATATTATATTTATTTATGAATGTTATCTTTAAGATTAATACTTTCCGGGAAGTTTATAAGCTCCCATACAATATAGAGATTATAATTTTATTTATTTCTTACATGATCTATATTTGTATTTTAAGAATTGTAATTTTATTATTTAAAGAATCTAAATTCAAATAAAATAAAGATAACTTTTAATTTAACAACAATTAAATTACCTGTTCATTAATATTGTTAAAATAATTAAGTGATAATTATTTGAACGTTTACATAATAATAGTTAAATGTTTATTACGAATTTAAATAAAAAAATGTATAGAAATTTAAATTTAAATTTATATAATTGGTTCAAATCGAATTATTGGTTCATCATTGATGGTTCAAATTGTTGATTCATAAAATATTCAAATCAAAAAATTTTATTGACTATGATGCAAATCAGTTCAAATCAGTTTGTATGTAAGCTCTACTTATTTTTTTACTTGTCTGCAAACTATATTTCTTGTAAATAAAAAAAATAATGATTAACTATTCTTAAAATAGTTTTAACAAAAAAAAAGAGTCAGATGAAAAAGGACTCCTGAAATTATGGTTGGAGTGGAACATGGTATTTTTTTGCCCAGAGATTTCTGTCTTTTGTTTTGTAATAATACATCATCATGATGCTTTCTTTTTCCAACATTTATTATTTTTCTTTCTTCTTGGTAAATTTCATAAGTAATCTTTTCTTTCCTTAAATAAGCTTCCA